AGACCTGACGGAAAAATCCAGCATGGAATTCCCTCTAACACTGGCTCTGGTTTCCAGGAAGCTTTTTTATTCTTTATATGGGAAGATGGATCTGAGATTGTTCACGGTATTCATGTCCTGGAGATGCTATTTCCCTTCAGTCCATCACCATTCTAAAGGCTTTTCTCCATCGTGGTCACAGCGGCGCCACCCAGGGGAAGATACAGCTGCTGCAGCTTTAATCTGGCTCTGACTTTGTCACCTTTGTGATGTTCTTTTTCTTTCATTAAGTCACACCGCGGGTGAGATATGCAGACCAGCATTGCTCCTGCCAGATAAAGGAGTCCTACTCACAGGCCCTTCGGTATTTGAGCTGTGTGAATGGGTCTGATATGCTGAGGGTACAGAGGCTGTTCCACGAGGGCTTAATTGCCCCCTGAATCGGTGGTTTAGGGTGGTTTGGACAGGTTATGTGACCCGTTCTCTGTCACTGTCCCCACACTTTGGAATAGTCTCCGGTCCACCATAAAGTCCTGCTCTGCTATTGGTGACTTTAAATCTAAATTAAAGACTCACCTTTTCTCTCTTGCTCTCTGCTCAGTTTGAGGTTCTCCTAGGGTTTTGTCAAGCCTGCTATTAAGTTACTTTAAGTTTCATTTCAATAACTCTTAATGCATTTTAATTACCCTCATCTTTTAAATCTGTTGCTTATATTATTACATTTCCTTTCATTTTAATTTTCTTATTGGTTGTATGCACTTTTTCATGTTATTTAATTTGTATAATTTATATTTGACTATGTCACCATGTCACTTTGGGTCAACTCTTGTTAAATGACTTGACTTGATGTAAATATAAGCTGCATTTTTTTCTCGCCTTTCTACCCCCATATACGGGCCCCACGGGGGATATTACAGACTGTTTATTTGTAGAGACTAGTGATCTCCCGTATGCGCTCACAGCATGGCCCGGAATATGATGGAGGAAGGGAATTTTGGTGATCTGGCTATTTTATTGATCTTGACAACTACCTTAAAAAGTTCTCTGCATTCTCTGCCGTGGTGTGTAATGCGTTATGAAACTGAATGAAACTCAGCCTTTTGATTTTTAAGGTAAGGTGTAGAAACACAAGTCTAAAATGCTAATGAAAGGGTACCCACACTGACAACTAGAAAAAACTGTATTCACAGAAACAATTAAACACATGACTGATCTGTTTTTAATAGAAACCCTAATGTTTGTCAGATCATTCTCTGGGCATCGAATAACTTATTGCCAAGCATGGTTCCCAGAATCATATTTTTTTCACCATTTTCAATCCAGTATGTTGACCCTGCTGTGTCCATCCCCTGTAGGCCGAACTCTGCTCGTCAGACCAATCCCATGAGGCCCCATGGCAGAGAGTCCATGTTCATGGGGGGGGGATAGGGGGGGGGGGGGACCTGCAGAGCCACGAGATCCTCTGTACACGGTAAGCATTGTTTTGGTCTTTCCAGGTGACAATTTCATCTACATCGCATTTGAGTGGATCATATTAAAAAAGAGGTTCTGTAAAGCCTCTATATTAAGTACCAGTTGATGTGAGACGTCTCTTGAAAATCTTCTTGCGAATCTCCAGCTTGAGAATCTCCACTACAAGCAATGCATAGCTACAGTGCCCTCTGCCTGTCATGAGAGGAACAGCATTTGCATTGATTTTTCAATAAACTAACAAAGGGTAATTTATCAATTACATTGCGTATGAATGTAATTTTAGTCCCCAAGTAAATGAGTAATTAACATGATAGGTGTACAATAGTTTGTTTGGCTTGTTTCCCAAAATCCTTTTCTTTATAGCCTGATACCAATAATTTCAGTGAGAACCGATAAAGCAGTACGATCCTTCCGTGTGCCACGCCCCCTCTTTAACCTCGTGTGATATCCCGATGTCATCAGCTGTTTCTTGTTATTTCTAATTAGTCTTGTGTATTTAAGTCCACGTCAGAGTATGTTTCCCTAGTTCCGTCATTGTCTTCTTGTGGTGAATCTGTCCTGTATGCCTCTCCGTGTGCCCATTAAACCTTTTTTTGCCCGGTTCGTGCCTGACTAGACATAAGAGCAGTGATGTATAGGTTCCACAGCAGAGCTCCTCACAGAGACCTGATGCAGGGAACATGAGCTCCATGACAGAGCTTCTCAAGAGAGTTGATGTGGAGAACATGGGCTCCAC